AGAAAGAAAGAAAGAAAGAAAGAAAGAAAGAAAGAAAGAAAGAAAGAAAGAAAGAAAGAAAGAAAGAAAGAAAAGCGTTCCAGACATGAAACACTGCTTTAAGTTCAATGTATATTTACACATTCCTCACTAAATCTTTAATCTCCTCAGGTGTGACACCTGAAACAGCTGGTGCGCCTTTAAACGCGCTCAGGACGGGTGAGTTGCGCCAAAAATAAAAAACCGCGAGCTTGTGCGTAAAAGGCGCGCGCAAAGAGCGCACCGTCCTCAGGACCTGTCCCTCCGACAGGTCACTGAACGCTTGTTTGGTGAAACTTGGCTGTTCGATGGGTTCATCGGTTCATGTTTGTCTTTGACAGGAGATCCCCCCAAGCGTCTGTCCAAGTCCAAACACAGAATGAACATGTCACGCAATATCCGGGAAGACTTTCAAAGTAAAGGCGTAAAATTTTGTARAAACATCGAGAGCTGATCTGATCATATGAAGATTTTTTTTAAGTTTGTTTGTTTGTTTGTGAAACTCTGCTTTAGAGGACTGTGCAAGATGATTTTATGAAGCAGAGGTCATCACTAATGATTGTTATCAAGGCAGTTAATGGAGACAGAAAAATCCAGCTTCGTCTTTATCTATTAATTACCAAATGAATGTGGAGCAGAAAAATCCCAGAGATTAGACCGTGCAAAACAACAGAATGATATGTCTCAAATAATACTGTAAAAYGGCAAGTTTTAAACAAACTTCTATAAAAAGACGAGGACACCTATAACTATGATAAAATACGTTTTACATGACAATTCAGTTACAGCCAAGGAGACATTAAAGAAAAACCAATTATATTCTGCTAAAGATACATGCATACATACATAGATACATACATACAATACTGTATGTAAAACCTGTGGGATTACATGTGAAAAATATAAAACTGCACTTAAAATATTGGATTATAAATGAAAATGATAAAACAACAAGCAGAAACTGTGGGATTGCATGTGAATACTATAAAATTACATGAAATATATGTGGGATTACTCATGGAAACTCTAACAATTTATGTAAAACACGTGGGATTACACATGAAAACTTAACATGCAATATCTGTGGGATTTTAGTTCAGTTAGTTTATTCATTTCTTGAAAAATTAACAACATACAACAAAAATACAAATCATAAATTAAATGAAAGGTAGCAGAAGATTTTATGTGTGTGTGTGTGTGTGTGTGTGTGTGTGTGTGTGTGTGTG